CCTTCACTGTCCACCATCCATATATTTGGGCTTGTTGCATCAGGTTTTTACACTGTAGAGCTATCAAAGAAAGGTTGGTATACTTTAATTCCRCTAACATTGAGCTTGGGCTACCTGTGCTAATGCCACTTTATTTGCAGATCTCTAGTTTCTGCCAACACCTTTCTGCTGGTGCATTATTCTCCTGCTCAGACTAAACCAATATTTTGGGAATGCACAAAACAGGTACATAATATACTGTACATTTTCTATGGTACAACTACCAGCATACTTGGTAGCCTGTGTACATCCATTTCTCATCCCTTCCAAATACGGTTTCGGCATATCCTTATGCTTAGAAGTTTGGCGGCACAATGAGATTTATATCACTCAAGTTAATTAATAGTTTGCTTTTGCCTTTTGAATAGAAAACAACTCTTTAAATATAGTATCAATTATCAATCTTAACAATTATGTCTCCAAGATCATCATACACAGCACGTTAAATAAACTGATTGTAATTGCAYACGAAATGCATGGATCACGGAAATCGAGCAGTGGAATWGCACTTTAAAATCAAAGAAAGCTGTGTTCGCAAGAGGCGATCAAAAAGAGAAAAGTTTATTTTCCGTCTTTTTTTCCTCAAAAACGTTCCTAAAACTCGGGGTGCGGCTTATCTAGGAGAGCGGCTTATACATGGGGAAATACGGTAATGGGGATTAATACCGATTATTTAGGAGGGGTGAGAAACGGATGTACACAGGCTACATGCTTGGTAGCCTCCTCCGCAGGCATCACTAAGAATCACGGTCATTATGACTGTTACAAAGGAAGCCCAAAGGAGGAAAAAGAGCTGCATGTGGAGGAGGCTTCATGCTTGGCTACATAAAATGATATCACTGCACATGGCTTGTTGACTATTACTAGTACTAACTATTTTTCAATTCAATCCTGACCGCATTTGCCATATTATTACTCATTTCTTATTATTGTGTTTTGTAATTCATATTAAACACGGGCCAAACACATTATGGAGTGGGCAATCTCATTATGGAGGATTAGGAATTACCGCTAAGCGTAATTTTTTCCCTCGTCCTCAGCCAATCAGCATCAAGTATTTTGATGAACCAAGAACACTGGTAAAATTTACTCATTCACAACCAATCACCTTCTAAACCATGAGTAAATTTTTACTGAATTCGGTAATCATTGCTGGTATAGTTGTGGTACAAAGCTGAGCCTTGCACTGGATTTGCAGTAATGAAAATGTTACCCCATGATACAGTGTAGAGGTCATCTGTGTTGTGCATTTGCTAGTAATTGAGACAGGGGTTGA